TTACAGCACACGGAGCATGAATATAAATCCCATCTCAAAAAAAGCAAAATTTTGGGTCGGTTTTTCAGTTGTTTTCTATTTTCATTCTCTCAGGATCTGCGCAAAGCTGCAGTGTTGATCTTTGCTAATAAGCAGGACATGAAGGGCTGTATGTCTGCGGCAGAGATTTCCAAATACCTGACCCTCAGCTCCATCAAGGATCATCCCTGGCACATCCAGTCCTGCTGTGCGCTCACTGGAGAAGGGTAAGACATGCAGTATAGACACAGGGATTACCTGTCTTAGCTTGTACGGTGTAATAGATTGATGATGGCAAAAGGTACAATCATCCCAGGCTCAGTGGAAAAATGTGCCCCTACCGACATTTTTACAAAACTCTATGTACCTGTATGTAAAAATGTACCTATACACATAGTTCATTGAATGTTCCAGCTGAAATGAACACTAGTGACAGTAAAACATCAACAACTTTGTTCATTTTCACAATAAATTATGATTACGGGACAGATTATCGATTACGTGGTTCCATGCACAATGCCATGTTATGACCTCAAAAGACTTATACCATAGTGCATTATTTGTCAACTAATATATTTTGATGTTTGCATCTAGGGGTGTGCCATATCATACATCCATGATAATACCGGTATACATTTTTACATGATAAAAAAGGTGATGACGTATGGCGGAGATACGTTCCCTAGTGCGCACAACAACAACACAACAAACCCAAGAGGTGTGTTCGACTTGAAGCAGCGCTGCACAGGCTGATCGGTGTATGACTTCAAAGTATCACGAGAGCGGTTCTAGAGCATATTCGAGCGCACACTCGTACCTTCAAAAATAGGCGCGGCGCATATCTTTAGCGAAGCGGCGTGCAGAGCCGCTTCTGAAACGTGCCGTGGCTCCGCTGGTGTAAACACAAGCATTGACTAGAGTGGCCGCGTCGGAGCTGTAACGCACCGCAGACACGTGCAGTGTAAATAAGGGGTAAGTCACTCGCTGTATTTTGATGTCATACACCGATCGGTCTGCTTCAAGTCAAACACACAGGTGCTGCTGCCAGCTTATGACAATAGATTTACACTTCAAATGAGGTAGTCTGTCATCGATGACAGTAGCTCATTGGAAAAGGATGGAAAATGCCCTTCATTTTGTTTGCACTAATAAATGCTGATGCCGGCCAGTTTCGGTACCATCAGTCAATCGTCATAAATACCGTTATCGCAAATATTCTTGAAATATGATATAATTTTGAGGCTATATCACCCACCCCTACACATAATCAACACCAGATGCATGAGGTTTTTCTGAGTAAAGTAAACTTGCTTCGTAGCTCGCCTATTACAGCACTGCGCTTCCAATGCTCGGCTACAAGTCATGTAAATCATAAGTCAGAAAGCTTTGTAGCAAGCTAAAATGGCATGGTTGTTTTAGCAAATATGTTTGGTTTTGTTGACACTATTGGTCAGGTTTAGTGTAGGTGGTATGTTATTTTCAAACACAATAGGGAATTTATCTTTTATTGCCACTCACATTTCGGACATTTTATTTCCGAGCTTCCGCGATACGTATAATAACCAACATAATAAAAGTTGCCAGATTTACATTCATCTGTTTTGGATAAAGCTAATGCTTTTAGCGCTACTCACTGGATGAAAACAAGCAAGAAGCAAAGTTATATTATTTTGAAGAATTGTCACCACAGGCACGTTGCCTGGGATAAATACAATAATCCAAAAAAGGTCAAACAGTTCAAATTAAAATTGTTTTACCTGTAAAAATAAATAGATAAATAAATAGTACTTCTGAAAAATCTCAGTAGCCTTGTTTGTTCTGCTTAGAATGTGCTTAAAACATGAATAATTTAATAACCTTGTTAAATGTAATCTATAGAAAAACTCAATATAAATATCCATTTATCATACTTTGTACATTATAATACCATGATGCTTTGAGTTGTAGCTTTTAAAACTCTTAGTTTAGCTGTTAAATGTTTTATTTTTAAATTTCATAGGCACTGGTGTAGAATTTTAATATTGACCAACATGTGTAAATAGTTTATCACATATGTAAACATTTTATCATACTGGCTAGAATTGTACTATTGGTGCATCCCCACTGAACATGTGTGTGTGTGTGTGTGTGTGTGTGTGTGTGTGTTTCAGGCTGTGTCAAGGTTTAGAGTGGATGACCTCAAGAGCCGGGCTCAGATAGCCTCTGATTCTTCTTGTTGGACTGATGAACAGCGATTTCCACCTCCTCTGGTGGCACTGCAGGCTCATCCCATTGGCTGCTCATGTTTTATTTTTAATCTCGCTCTGCAGCTGAACTCTCTGGACACCTACCTCAGCTGGGATTTATCAGTTACATGAATCTGGTTTGACAGTCTTGTCGATCAATATTAAATCAGGAGCGACTGGATTTTTGTTCTGGGTGTATATCGGAAGATCTTCAAAGTCGAAAGTATTTCAACTTAAAGAGAGGCACTACAGTGCTGGTGTGTGTTTGTGAGGAGGGACTGTGTTTTTAACACTGACAGTGGAACAGAAGTTCTCCAAATAAGTATATTAAGCTAATCGTGTGTTTCTTTAAATCTACTGGGAAGAAATGATTTGAATGGTCTAAATGTTACTTTTTCACATGGGGAATCTTTGGGTAAATTGTTGTCATTGTCTGGTTGTTTTTGGTTATGCTTTTGGGGTATCAAATGCTTAAAGTGCCATTGGTACCCAGCAACACCACCACATATCATGAAAACACCTGAGCATATCACTTAGTACACATTACCTCAATCATTAGTTACAGTAGAAGGTGCTGTTACCATTTCAGACGTGGCCATTACAGCTTGAAATGTCCTTGATGTGAGATGCAATTTAAAGAAAGGGGGGGAGGGGGGATGTGTTAAGATGCAGCAGTTGGCTGGATTTATTGTAATATCTGTTACAGGTGTTTTAAGTAACCATTCGCCTTGCTGGAGTGTGGTTATAGCATAAAGGTCCTTCAGTTATTATGAGGAAATAATGTTCAAAAGGAACACAGTATTATGATTTTTAAAATCTGTTTTCATCCCAACCCTCTTGATGCAGATATTCACTGCTGCTGATCTTCACAGGTCAACCAGCCATAATAGCTGTGTCTGTTGCTATGTAAGTGATTGCCGTTTTATTCAGATTTCTTCAGCTCGGACATTTATTTTTTTTGTCATCTTCCTTTTTTTTCAGGTTATTTGGAACAAAATGAACGCATGAGGACTAGTTCTTATTTGTTTGCGTGGTGATTTTGCCAATATTCTTAT